ATCTAATAGCCAAAAAAAGAAAGTCATCCAATTGCATTGTGCAGTTTGTTGAGTATCATAATAGGAGTGCAGTTGGGCAGCCATTCATATTATGATTGTAGTCATCAATTACTTTTGGAATTTTCAATCTTTTTTTAGTTCAGAACTAAATACTGCACGAACCTTTGTTGTATTGATACTTGTTTCTCTTGGTTACCACCTTTCTTGTTCAATTTCCCATTCTTCACCTACAAGACCATGAATAGTCGATAACATCGTGATGGGCTCATTATCTTGCCACAAAATAACCAATGCACCATTTACCTCAAGATCAGAATGAATGTTCCAATCTAATTTAACACCTTTATCCACTTTTAATTTCTTTGAAAATCCAGCTAACATTTTTTGAATAGTTCCACAAGCTCCAATACCGATTCGTCAAAGATATTAAAAGAGAGGAATACTAGTAAAATAATTGTTCATGAATATATTGTAAGGAAACTATTGATATAGAAGTTGTTTAGCAAAGTGAAGAACTAGAGATCCAATCTTACTAAGACCATTCACCTTTGTTACATTACTTGGGGCAATGCGCAACATTGATAAAAAAGTGTAAGTATACTCAACTTCACAAAAGGAAAAAATCTTAAAACCTTCTAGAACTGGTTTATTTTTTATTCATACTGTATGAACGCTTTTATCAAAAAATTGAATCATCATCTCATCTATTGAACTATTTGAGCCCGGTGTGTAGTACTGTTTTGAAGCCTTACGAATCCGTGAAAGTAGTGGTTCTACTTTGTTGAAATAATTTTTTAATGTTGATGAAGGAGCAGGAGGAGAAATATAAAGGAATCTCTTTATTAACTCAAAGCATCGTAGTGACATTTGTTTTGAAATTTGATGAACCAGGAGCTTTGGATTTTCATTCCAATATTCGTCAAGGGATAGCAACTTGAAAAGCCCTTGGTAAATTACCAGAGCAACCCAAACAAAAAGCTCCTGGCGGGTTATCTTCTCTTATCGTCTACCGGTAGTTCCTGCATCTTTTATTAAAGCATATTCATTTGTGTTTTCAACTATTGTATCTATTATGGGCATAGCAAAAAAAAGAAAAAAAAAATCTATTGATCTGAAAACATTAACATCAAGATGTGGTGGCAACCGAACATTTGCACGATGCAATAAACTTGGATGAACCAATAGTTCAAAGTTGGGTGGTGGTGTGGCAGTTTGGGGGCTGGTTTGTGTCTTCTTTTAGGGACACTAACTGTATCTGTTGCAGCATCGTCTTTATTGTTTTCACTTTCTGAATCCGAGTCACTTAAAAAACGTTAACGAAACGTCAAAACTGGTATGTATTCTTTGCCATCATCGTACGTCTCTACATTTTCTAAAAGAGATGATGACGAACTTGCAAATGATAAAGTTGAATATGGAGAAACTTTAAACATTGTTTTTTTTTATTTTTATTTTTATTTTATATATATATATATATATATTTTTTTTTTCTTCTTGTATGCATGATGACTTGATGTAGGGCAATCACACACAGGGTTTATCAAGTGACTTAACTATTGCATAATAATGCATGAAAGGGGGCTATAAATTGGGATACGATTGGTTGTAAGGCCAACTTTAATTTTAGCTTAGTAATATAGGGGGCGAGCATAGTAAAGTCGGGCACAGGTATACAAAAACTGGTTAAAAAAAAATTTAGCGGGCAAATTTGCCTGCTAAATGGTTTAAGGGATAACCTCAGGATAGAGATAATGATTTATATTATTTTGCTTCAATCTGGTTTTAATAATTCAAATTTATCATGTAAATTGTATGATATTTTAGAATTTAATCTAATTAACTTTTAATAAATTCTAAATATCACAAATTCATATGATAACCCCAAATTATTAACACAGAAATGGGTAAACCCATGTTGTAAATTGGTAAAATTCACTACATATTTCATGTTATATTTTTATTAAGCAAAAGCAAATTTCACACTCATATGATCTATGTAATGGATTTTACTAATTCATAGCACGGGTTTCACCCTGTCATATTAAAACCGGTTCCAACCTCTAGCTTTGAAACCCATTCGAACACTGTTTGGAAACACCTATATAAACTGGGTTTCAAAATCTGCTTTAAACTATTTATATACATATACTATCAATTATGCACGCCTAAACATATTAGTTTATGTATATTATTTATATAATAATCTATAATATATTATGTATATGTTGTGCGTCGATTGCAGCTACCAGTGTTATAAATTCAAAAAATTTTATTGGCGCAAAAAAAGAAATTTATATGCGCTTTATATATACGGAGAGCACTGATATATGCGCAAATTTAAATCTATGTACGCTTCTCCTATTGCGCGGATCCATTTACATCACAGATTTTCACCCTAACCCTAATCCTAACTCAGGCCGGGCGTCATATGCCGCAAGGATGCATCTGAGGCACAACATATACGCTTGATATTATTATATCAATATTTGCATATTACATATGCATTGCAGTGACTTAATTTTTTTATTTATTTGTTGACTCTCATATATTCAATCATACCCGAACCCGATTCATATCACGTTTTCAAACAAAGGTTTGCGCCTATATTTTCTTCAGATCTGGCTCAATATTCGTTTTACTAATATTTCTTATTAATTCATTCCATTTATCCGGCTAATTACGTTTAAAATACGTTTTTATCGTAGAAAACCCTGTATTCATTGAAGAGGCTAGATTACAATGTTTACAATATTACTTGTCGTCACTTTCAATAAGCTCATCCCAGAAGGGATCAGTTTTAAATTGTTTTGAGGGACGGTTTGTTGTGTATGCTGAGATAATGTTGAAATCGATGTGGAGGCAAATTCATTTATATTATTAGGTTGTTCGAGTGTGCTTTCTTCGTTCATCATATAAAAATAAACGAAAAAGAAAAAAATATGTATTTATAACAATTGAAAATGTTTCTACAAGGAGTTACATATTTTTTTTATTAAAAAAAAGCTTAACTTTTAATTAAAAATAATATAAAACTCAGTTACCTAATTTATGTCATGGAAATTAACTTTTAATTAAAAAAAAATTAAATTACAAATCATGAAATATTTTGTTTAAGAAATCGATTTCGAACCCGACTTAACACAATCCGAAAAATTAAAAACAACCGTTCTTTTTGCCAAAATCTACATAGGAAACCATCTTTAGTGTTCTAACAAAAAGTTTTCCTTGAGAGATTTTACTATATATTACATCAATAGCAAACACTAATATAATCGCTAACCCCAGTATTAACAACCTTTTAAGAGTATTATTATCGCAGAATTTTCGGGGTGTTGTTGTGGTAGTTGAGTTCCTAATTAAATCACGTGACTGCAGAAACACGTGTTTAACGGGTTTGGGCTACAGGCCCGAACTGAGTTCGGACAAGCAGGGTAGCATCCCTAGTTTGAAATTTTAAAAATGTCGTTATAGCCATATAGCGTTTAATACAGATTTCGATATAACCAGAGTGACGTGTAATAATCATTATTCTAATTACTGAATTACATGTATTAAGCAAGAGTAATTACAGCCTTAAGATTAACTTAACTGATCAGTATATATTCTGAAATAAGTGTGTTTTCAAGCACCTTACTTAATGGATCGGAGGAAAAATTTTAAATAGTCGGAAATTGAATAAATTAAACCAATCAGCGGGATACGATAAAGGTCGCTCAAGCGTTACTTTTAATTTTTTACATATATGTCAAACATAATAAACAACAAATTTCTAACAGATATGAGAAAATAACTATGTTTAATTCTCACGCCATCTTTTAATTCTTTTAATATTTAATCAAACCATAATGAATACTGCTATTCCATTTTCGTTCAATAAAATTTAATTCGTGATCCGCGTGAAAACCAGTGAAAAAACATAGTAAACAGTGGGGATACGTTTACTAAGTATGTAATTTTGACGTTTTTGGAATCTGGCGTTTTCCTAAGGACGAATCGATTTTATACTAAGTGAACCTCTTCTATTTCTAATAAAAGTTGTCGAGGAGAATATTCCGATCGTAACAGTGGTTAAAACGTAAAAATCGGCCCAGTGGATCGTGAAGTATGAGCATTTTTGTCCTCGCAACTAATGTATGTTTACTTCTTTGTTTACTACATATAGTCGCGAAGACAAAAATGCGATCCACTGGTTCAATTTTAATGTTTCAACTTTCGTTATGACCAAAATTCTCTCTTCTACAACTTTTATTAGAAGAGAGATTTACTTAGTAAAAAAATCGATTTATCCTTTGGGAAACGCCAAAAACAATAGTAAATTTCCCCATGGTTTACTATGTTGTTTCAATGTTTCCCACGCAAATCACGAATTAAATATTAATAATGATTCTATAAATTGGTTCTGTTGCTGTTGCAACAAAAGATTTGAATTGATAATATCCTTAAAAGGAGAAGCCGACGCAGTCGAAGTTAAAGTTTCGACAACCGGTTTATAAATTTTTTTTTTTAAGGTATTTTAGGTGGCATAAAGTAGATCACGAAAAATTAGAAAAGGAGAATGCTCAAGCATTTAATTCTATAAATTGATTGAGATGCTTGAGCGTCATCATGATCATTATTTAATTAATTGGTTGAGATGCTTGAGAACACTAAATCAAGACAAAACATACTTTATACTAAAAAATTATGATCATACACTAATTAAGGTATTGCTGTAAGACTAAATTTTAATTCAAAGGTAGTAAATTAAAACCGTACCAATTTTGCTCAGTTGCTTTGTGTATTATATAATATTCAAAAGATTAATGTATGTTTTTTTTTTATTTTTCAATGTTCAAAATATTTACCAAACGACTTTGAATTTATAAATTTTAGATAAGTCGTTTCAAACGCCTAAATAATGTACATATTTTAGATCTTATGTGAACTGACCATATTACTTATGTACATAAGTAAGTACGTACGTATACACATATATCTAATATAATATTGCATTTTTTGTTTTACAAACGTAAGATATATTCATTATATAAATTTTTTTGTTTACCACTCAAAAATTCATCATAAGCTGTTTGTATAATGCCAATCCAAGATGTTGGATGAATTTTGGTTTTCCATTGATTATGCCAATGGTAAGTAAAAATACCGCGAAAGAAGTTATCTATATTGCGGATATCCAAAGGTGAGCCATCAAATGTTGTTGGGTCAAGACCAGGAATTTCATCAGGGATTATACTAGAATTAAAAAAGTCATCAAATTTACGAAAATTTGGAGATAATACTGATTTTGTTTGTATACGATCTCGTTTCAACCATAAAGGATCAAATAATGCAGATGGAAGCATGTAAATAAGTTTGTTAGTTTCCTGAACAGAAGAATTTTCATATGTAGACAGGTATTTTCTAATATTAAAAGGATGAAAGTCCATGTTATTTTTTATAGCACCACGAATAACCATTTCAGAAGATGAACTCTGTTTCCAAAGACGTAGAACGGCGGTATTATATTCATTTTTCATACTCCAACGATAAGAGAATTCAAAATTTGCGTAGTATAATGGACGCATGTCACGAACAAGAAGAACATCGGAGTCAATATATATACCTCCATATTTATGAAGAACTACGAAACGGACCAAGTCACTAAGTTTAACCGATTTAAGAAAATAATCAGGTTCCTGCCAGCCGGCGTATACATCACTCGATGAAAGTAATTCCGACATGTTCCAGAGTTTAAACTCAATAAGAGTTGGAGAATATTTGAGTAAAGGACGAATATATTTATTGTCATTGAGATTGGTATCATTTAGATTATCGAGCCAGACATATAATGTCGAACATTCAAGAGGTTGAGTATAAAGAAAAGATTTCATCAACAAAGCGAGTTTATCAGTAATGTTGCCTTGCCAGAAGACGTGAAAGAGCATTGATGGATGATCACGATTGCAAGGAGGTGGTGGTGAGGCGCCCTCTACGGTTGGAAATGGAATCATATAATCGTCTTCATCATTATCAAGATATTTTAGACAGTTTTCAACCATAATTTTTCGTATATCTCCACAATTCTTCTCTAAACGATCAACACGAACGACGTACCCTTGTTTTGGACGTTTATAACCGTTTAACAGAGATGAATTCAATCCATCATCCGGAATATGATGGATAGTATTCAAATAAATATAAGTGACATAAAATAGACCGATGATGACTATGAATATGAATGTTTTAATTAATGCCATTATTTCGTATGAAAAAGTTTTCTAGATTTCATACTAAATAGACAAATGGTTGCAATTTTGCAGTATTTACGTATGTAACATACGTATGTGCGATAGATAGATAGTAATATGCCGTAAATAATGTGTTGTAAATAATATGTATACCAGTGTCACGAATTCTTTAATTGATGACTCGTCACCCTATGTATTTAACGTTAAATTAATGCATGTGAACGTATTCGTACGCGTGTTGGACGAATTCTGTTCATTATTATGCTATAGTGTATAAGACAAATAATTACTGATGCAAAATTAGAGGCTATTTTTGCACGTGCAGTATGTATAACCTTTGGTTTAATAGAGTTACCGTATCCAGAGTGGCATTAAAACTGCACAATGAATGCGTGAGAAAGATCAATAAAAAAAGCGAAAATACTCGAAAACCAATTTTAAATCGACCTTGTGCACTAATTAAAAATGTCGGGAGCAGAATTTTGCTAATACATTCTACGTACGTACGTAATAAATTCTATCTTCTGATTCCAATTTTCCTTTTTTGGTTGACAGTTTTTTTAGCACTAATGTTACACTCGATCTTGATACAAAACGATATAGAAATTTCCTTTGTGACTTGTATCACTTGCAGAAATAAAAGTCAGGTAAATTTATAAATGGGAACGGGATTTAAGTTAGTTAAATTAGTTTTCAGGGTGGTGTTTACTTTATATAAATCCTATACCATAACTCTAAAATTTTAAGAAATTCCCACTTACAACAGTCAATCTTCCATAAATGCGTCCCCTTTGG